TACAGTAACTTCAAAATGGTGTAATGATAGGCACTCAAAGTCACTATCTGTTCAGGACTAGCCCTTTGGCTGGTACAAATTGGTATATGTCCACTAATTTCAATTTACATGAGTTGGGATTTTGGCCTCTAACTTGTTATGACATTTCTGTCATTCAGATAAGAAGTGCTTGCGGCTGCAGATTAAATGTTTCTACTTATCATCCTGTACATTTGTTCATACACCAGAAAGATATCGGGACAATTTGAAAAGGTTTTTCAGGATTTGGACTTTGAAGTTTATCTGTTGAGTTAGTCTTGTGTGATGGAAGTGAGACTTATTCCATCTCTTCCTGTGGGAAATGGTGGTGGCTGTTTTCATTCCTGTTCTGTGGCTGGGGATTTGCTGTGCAGGAACTGAGACAGATAAATAGCAGTGCATGAAACTAAATGTGAACTTCTCTGTGTGTGAATTACTACCCAGAGGAGAACATCTCTCCCAGCTGTAGATGAGAGTGATGATGGAGAATACACCTGAGCCCCTGAAAGAAAATATCACTAGCAGGCAGGGAAGATTTTGCTGGAAAAAACCTGCAGGGCAGAAGATTATGATAGCAGAAAAGGGTTTTCTTGAGCAATTGCTTCCTAAGGTGTTTTCCTGTAGAATGCACTGCAACCAGCCACACAAACTTCCTGCCTTTAAAAGTAGGAAGTTTTGAATTCAGTGTTCATTTTTTACTGTGTTATGTCATTTAATAACCCCCCATGTCCACTACTTGATGGCACGAGAGTTATTGTATTTGTGGCAACAGCACGGCCAAAATAGGTTGTGTGGACAAGGTGCTCTTGCCCGCAACTGAGGAACAGAGTACTAAAGCAGGCTTTTCCCCTCTTACCATTCACACTAGGTACTGTGATGCATATGATGGATTGACCCTGAGAGACACCTGGATCTGTTCAAGTCATGCTTAATAACCAAGGCGAAACTCCAGAATGGGTTAAATCCTGGTTCTTTGTCAGCAGCTCCTGAGTGAACTCATCCAGCAAGACTGTCCATTTTTTGCAGCAGCAACATAAAAGGTAAGAAAGGAGATGATGTTCACTCCTCTTTCCGATCAGAGCTTTGCTAACACACTTTGCTAACTTCACTCTTGCTCAGTGTGATGGGTATTTGCAATTCAGTGTGTTCTGTAAAGAATTAAAGTAGGGCATGACACCTGTGACTACATGGGTCCTTGGCCATTCTTCAGGGAAAAACGCACTAGTTGCAAGGGCTCTGTATTATTTGGGGCTAGGGAAAGAGGAGGCAAATCCCTCTTCTAGCCCAGTAGACTGGAAAAGGTACTCAGAATTTTACTGTCAGTCATGTGTGAAATAACAGGCTTGGCAACGAACAGCAACGACTGAAAACTTGAAGGAGAAAACACCAGACCAACTAAGTAAGATAAGCTGGCATGCTCTTCAGATGGGCTTGTTTTCCTTTCAGGCTTCAGATTCCCTTAGAAAAAACCCCAAACTGCTCTTGCATTGTCCAGCCCAGGGAATCTGTGTTCCCAGCTATTCTCTAGGTGCCTTGAGCAGACAGAATAGGATTTTTTTAAATGCCCAGTTCTGCCCCCTTCCTGCCCTCCTGATGGACCTAAAGCCCTGCCTTACTCTTTCATGATGAAGTTGTTTTGACCCCTCCTTTCCAGTAACCAAGAGTGGTGTCTACTGTTTGTCAGACATCCTGCTGTTCTACAAAGGCAGGCGGGATGTTCCTACATATTTGTGCTGTTGACTATTCTCCCTAATTACTCTTAGTTTATAATTTCTTCTAATATTTTCAGTTATGATGATATATATTTATTAGACTAATTTGTTTCTACATAACCTCACTGCAGCAAATTTTTCAGTTTAATTACATGTTGCTTCAAATATTTCTTTCTGTAAAATTCAAGGCAGGAGATGTATTATCAATACTGTTGTTTTTATTTAATTTGCAGGATGGATGATTTAGTTTCTTGAGGGTACTGTTTGGTTTATTAAGTGTGTTTCTCTTCCACATAAGGCAGAGTGACACAAAGCTAAATCAGAAGTGGTTAAGTTGCAATTCTGGAAATTCAAAGCTTAGTCATATAAGACTGTATTATAACTCATACACTGAGGGAGGTCACATTGAGATTCCAGGGACAGTCTTAGGTCAAACATTTACTGGCCCTTGACTGCTTGATTTGGTAAACTCAATTTTTTAATTATGACAGGCTTTTTTTAAGAGAACAAAATATCCCAAGCTGCATCCTGAGGTATCTGCCTCTTCTTCCCTTTTTTACACGTTGCTCTGGCCTCCCTGCCCTGCAGGTCCCAGCTCTTTCCCAGCTCCTTGTCAAATTCATTTCCCTTTCACAAGCACACTGGTGTCTGCTGTGTCTGCTGGTACAGCCAGTCCCTGTCTCCACTCCTCTCTCAATGCTTTCTTTTGGTCAATACAACTTTCCCACTCCTCCACACACTCCTGCACTGGGAAGTGGCTGCCACAAGCACACTGGTATAATCATAGAATGGTTAGAGTTGGAAGGTACCGAGGGTGGTTGCTTTCTTCTCTCCCCTTAGTCTTTTCCTCTGTTTCTCAACTCCCAGTCTCTGGGATCTCTGACTCCCAGGTCAGATATTTGTCTGCTCACCATCAGCCTCCAGCTGCATCCTCATGTCCCCAGTCTGGTTCTGGTTTTGCAGTCTGGCACAGCTTTTATCTCTTGCTTCTTCCCTTCTGTTGGGAGCGCACCAACATATATAAAAAGATAGTCATAGATAAATTGTGATTAAAATGTAAAACATACTAAGTCAATGTAGATGGATAAGGAGAATAAATTATACTTGCAAGCTTTTAGGGTGCTGGAATCTTGCCTACAAAAGATTGCTATTGCAGGACAGAAGTATTTTAATGATCAGCGCTTGACAACGCTTATTGTGAGCGAGGAATAACCTGAGAGAAAGTAAAAAGGGTGCTAATTTGAAAGAATAGCCCATGGGCAGTGGAGTCTGGCAGTGCTTGTTGACTGGCTGCCAGGGCTGACATTTCAGTATGGATTGAAAGGTGATAGGTGAAAAGCCCTGAAAGTGCAAACAAAGGAAGTTGATTTATTGACCACAAGAGAAGGAGCCAGTGGAGGGATGCACATCATTAAAAACCCCCATCCTGTGAACAAACTACACTCACATCATCCCTCCAATGCCTGTCTGAAGTGGTCTCTGAGGCTTCTGTTCATGCGGGCTGGATTCCTTCCAAGGCAGCCCATCACTAGCTTTTCCAGGAGAAGCTTTTTATTAATGCTTATCCTCAGCCTCCCTTGTTACAATTTAAGTTCATTACCTGCTGTCATATACAGCTTCAAGGCGGAAACAGCATGGCACTCCTGGGTCATGTTCAACTTCTAATCTATGGATCGTTTTCCGCTGAGCTGCTGTTAGTCTCTCACTCTGCACCCTGTGTCTCTGCAGTGGATTATTTCTGATTAAATATAGATTTTTGCATTTGCTGTGGAGTAAATTACATTTGCTTTTCATATTTTTCTGTATTAATGCAGCTCACACAATCAGTAATGAGAGAAGTTGATTAATTTTTACTTCATAGATAAAAAATACTTTCACTTATGTACATTCATATTGGAGAGTAAATCCATTGATTTGCAAGATCCTGTAAAGCGGTTTAAAGCTGTATTTGAACTACAGATGCTTTTCCTGATAGTTGTGCACATATAAAATAGAAGCAGCACTTTCATGAAAGCCCTTGTCACTTGCTCATTGAAGTAAACGGGGGCTTTCTGTTGCTTTCAGATTTCAGACTTATTTTCAATCTACTAGCTCATACCTTAAATATGGCATAGTGCTCAAGAAGTGGTTTTCCCTTTATTTGTGTATATTGCATAACATGGACAAGTGTTAGTCAGACAGGATATTTTCCCCTTTTAAGGTCCCAATGCGTAGTGGAAAAATGGCACTTCTGTTTATATACCATTTTAAATTATTTCAGCTTATTTTCCAAAAAAAATAAATCACAGCTTGGAAGTTTTTTGAATTAAGGATTCAGCTGGAGATGCATTAAATAAATGCAATGTGCAACAGTTTACAATAGACTGGACTTTTAACTTTTTGATCTCAGATGACTCAGTGGACTTCACATACTGTTGTTACTGCTAATGTCTAACCCTGACATTTATTTAAAAAAATCGTGTCGCAGAAGGAGAGAAAAGCTGTGAGTGATTCTCCCTCCCTGATCCTTTAATCCACCCTTAATTCTTAAAACAACATTGCAGGAAGACAGACTTTTAACTCTTCAAAAGACTTCCATTGTTCAGATTCTTAAATTTTGGGGGAATCATTAAAAATGGATACTAATCTTATTGCAATGAAATTGAACAGGCAGATTTCTATAATTAAATAAGAGATTAACTCCATATTCAAAATGGTCACACTAAAAAGAACTGCAGAAAATGCAGCACTGTTACAGTGAGCACAAGACTGAACAGACTTTCTAATAACTAATTAAATAAACTGTTATAGAAATGATATGCTTGTATGCCCCTTTCTGCACTCAACATCTTTCTGGCTGAACAGGCTGCACTATATCTCCTGTCTTCCTCCGCTGCCAGTAGGTACACATACTTATATAATTATGGGAATAGGTATCTCAGTTGTCTTATTCTTATTATAGACTTTTTCTTATTATATGACTAAAGTCTATTCTGCAATCATGCCTGTGATGGAAAAGAAGTTTCCTTCTTCGTATCTCCTGTCTGGTGTATTATTACTAAGTCATTATTATCACTGCTGCTACTACTACCAGAGTTTATATTCTGGTAGCAGCAAGGATTTTTAATCACAGAACTTTATATTTGCTATTCCCTAAAGGGAAAAGGGAAAGAGACAAAACACAAAATAAATATAAGAAAGAACAAGACTATGGTGTAAAATGGAATGTTATGCAGTTTATTAATTTTGATTCATAAAAATATAAATATCTATCTAAGGATTTGCCTCAGATGAAAGATATTCCAAAATAATACAATCTCAATCGCTATCACCAATATTTTCCTATATAAAAAGTAAAAATCTTTAGGTACTTGATGAGTAATTATATAACATTTTACTGGGTAGAAAAAAGTCAGATTTTGAAGAGGATACCAGTTTGCTTTTCTTACAGCACGTGTACACTTTCTTTGTACTACATTGTCTTGTACAATATTTATCTGAATTTCACTGAATATATTATCACTGAATCTATTTGAAATGCACAAAAAATTATTCAGATTTTCCTCATGCTACTGTGAAAGTGCAAACCATTTAAAATATAGTTTAAAATAACTGAGACTATTCTATAATTGCTCAAATGCAGCTATCAGCTGAACATTAAGCTCATATTTGCTCTGTAAAATGTTATAACATTGTGCGTACTACTACTGGTGGTATAGTAGTTGTCATTACAGACACAGTCCAGTAAAATGGATTTCCGTAAAAAAGACAGTCTTGTGATATCTTGTCAAAGAAGTTGTGTTTTTTTTTTTTTATGTCACTGATAATTGATAAGACAAGTTAGAGCATTTGGTATAAAATTCTGCTATCACATGTTACGCATTTAGATAGATAAAACAGGAAAAGAAAAGCAAACCTGAGAACAAATAAGCACTCAACTGATTTACTTCAATAAATAATTAGCTTAGTCTGTGAATGCCAGATCAGTGCAATTCATATTCATTTTTAATGCCATTTGAAATAAGTTGTAATATCCAAATGAAGATGGAATCGAGAACCATTAGGTTAAACTACTCCTGACTGGAAACATGTTGAAATACGAAGACTTTTCTTTGAACGATGCCCAGCTCAAAGGAAATCCACAGGGAATAAACTGTGAAAAAACTTCTAAAGCCTTTTGCCTGAAGTATTTCCCAACAATGACATAAATCACAGGGTTAATGCAACTATTGGTGATAGCCAGAGTATAACCAAACTGCTCACCAAAGTTGAGCAGTTCCTCCCAGAAGCAGCCTTCGATCACTTGTGTCTTGTATAATATATCAAGGAATGCAAAAAAATGGTAAGGAGTCCAGCACAAAAGAAACATCAGTACCACTGTGAAAATCAACCTGGTAGCCTTTGTGCTTTTCTGCTCCTTGCAGCTTTTTGTTCTGAGTGCTCTGCGTTCTCTTGCATGTTTTTGTAGGGAGCGAATGGTAGAGAAACTAAGGAAGATGATTACTGTAGATGGCAACACAAACCCCACGATGCTGAATACCAGCTTTTCAGCTGTTCCCCACAATGGAGTGGGGAAGTCTAAAACGCACGCTGATATATTCCACTGGGGATAGGGTATCACAGTCCGAAACATAAAAGTTGGGACGCTGAGAAGGATGCTGAAGAGCCAGGCGAGCAAGCAGATCCCTTTGGCCGTAGTTTTGCTCCGTATCCCTCTGTGGTTCAAGGTATGGACAAAAGTCAAGTAGCGATCCACGCTGACTGCCACTAGCAAGTAGATGCTGGTGTACAGGTTTAGTCTGATGGATGTGCTGGTGCTACGACAAAGGAAATTGCCAAATGGCCAGTTAAATTGATTCCTGATGTTCTCTGCCCAGAAAGGGAGGCATGTGAGGAAGATAAGATCAGCAACGGCTAGGTTCATAAGGTAGATTTCAGCTACCTTCAGGGAGCTCTTGTGCAGTGAGTAAGTGAAGAGAACGAATATATTTCCAAGCATTCCGATAACACAGACGATGTCTATATACTTGGGCACTATATAGTAAACGATTTCCCACCAGTCATTCAGGTCTGGGCAAGTAATTGAGTTGCTCTCGTTTCCACTCTGGTTTGAGGAGGGAACATTCAGTAAAGGAATCTCAGTCATTTTTTTTTAAATTCTGAAGTGAACAGCAGACGTCTTTGAAATGAGAGAAAGAGCCTGCAAAACAGAAGCATAAAATTCCAAAAGTTGTCTCCCATCAGTGGTGTAACAAACACTTAACTGCTAGAAATTCTTTACTCATGCTCACTGATTATTGTAGGCTAGATCAGTCCATGCTTCTTATGTGCAATGCTGAGAAAAGTTCCCAGTATTGGCAATGATTTAACTTCCTCCACATTCTATGAAACTTCCTCTCTCTGCTGCCATTGTTTAAAGTGGCAGAGAGGAAGGAAAGTGCCAATTTAGTGTAAGTAGTTCTGTATGTCTCCTCCAGACTGATGACAGAAATAGATATAGCTGAATTCCAGCTCCCTGAGAGTAGGAGTCACGCTAGCAACATACAGCTATATAGCTGAATTCCAGCTCCCTGAGAGTAGCAGGAGTCACGCTAGCAACATACAGCCAACTTTGCAGCCTTCTCTGCCCTTTCTTTTACTCTTATTTTCCATGCTATGTATAATTTTAGCAGGATGGTTCTTGTTTCCCAGAACTGGGAATGCTACTCACTCTCTGTGTGCATCACTTGTTTGCTTAACTTTGCATTCTTTTGTTCCCTCTCAGTTCCTCCCATCCTGAACCTTGGGTTCAAAATTACTGTTAGATTAGACAGCAGTTGTTTCCAAAATCGTAAACTCAAAATCTTGCCTGGGGGGAAGATCTCTGCAGCTCCAAGTGCACAGCACTCTTCTCCAGTTCAAAAATTTCATGTGAGTTCAGGTGGAGAGAGGGAGACCTACCAGCCAAAGCATTTATGCTTTTATAGCACTCTCTGTGTGCATCACTTGTTTGCTTAACTTTGCATTCTTTTGTTCCCTCTCAGTTCCTCCCATCCTGAACCTTGGGTTCAAAATTACTGTTAGATTAGACAGCAGTTGTTTCCAAAATCGTAAACTCAAAATCTTGCCTGGGGGGAAGATCTCTGCAGCTCCAAGTGCACAGCACTCTTCTCCAGTTCAAAAATTTCATGTGAGTTCAGGTGGAGAGATGGAGACCTACCCTCCAAAGCATTTATGCTTTTATAGCACTGGCAACACCTTTATTTCTCTCTAGTAATTCCATGAGAGATTGGGCAGGAATGAGATCACGGGTAAAATGTTATCTTCCCATGAAAATCCACTGGGTTGACAGAGCTGTTTCCTGCAGTGACTTTATTCTTTTGGTGTTTTCATGCTCAACCATAGTGCCTATGGTTAAGCAGGAATTCAATCTCAAAATCATTATGGTAGGCAAGACATTACTGAGCCTGTGGTGACATCTAACATTTCAGTATTTCATATCCAAGTGGAGCATGACAATCATAAGAAAGAATGCATTTCAAAAAATCAGTACATGGCAATCAGTCATCCTGAATGTTAACTTTCTGCTACAGCTACTTAACTCTGCTCTCTCACTTTCTACATTTTTATACCAAGGAGGTAGTTAAGGATGGAGTTTCTGAAGAGAGAATTTAGGACCAGGATTCATCTCTTTTACATCCACGTACAGCCTTTAGTGATGTCTATATCTGAGCAGCTTGCAATAGTTATCTCTGTTATGCCTCTAGGAATTAGTTAAGTACTAATATTCCACATCACAGAATTTAGTACTTAATGCACAGAACATTTTTCATCATTGCAGAATTAAGTGAGCAGCAAAGTTTTATCTGAGTTCATAAACTCACTCCAAGTGGCAGTCTTGTCAGGGAACTGGGCTACAACTCCAGTTAATGCAGCTCTGGCTTTGAACATCTTCCCTCACAACAGTCTGAATGTTAGCTAGTTCACTGACAGTCTTGTGAAAACTAAGATAACTTGAGAGGATCTAAAACTGCAGAGAAGATATACAGAGTGAATAAATGGCTGATTAGCACCAAAGAGGCAATATGTGAGACAGCAAGAGAGTATTTGTGAGACAACAGGAGTCTAAAGTTTTATAGCACGAGGCTTGCTAAGGTGTGAGAGTAATGGAAGAAAATCTGTAACATTATATGTCAAAAGTAAAGAAGAAAGATAATGGCTAAAAATTTCCCTTTGTAAACGGAATTATTACTTTTCCTAAATATAGAGGAAAAAGAACTGCTTATTTTCCTTGCTTGCCCATTTTCTGATGGTTCTTGCTATCACTTTATGCTGGTCACTTTGCACACTTTGAATTCGTGGAGCCACGAATTCATTCATTATGGGCTAAACTAAAAACATCAGGAAAATTTGATTTCCGTTGCAACTTAGATTTTAGCCACAGCTAAATCTGACTTCTTGTTCAGCCAGCAATAGTACATGAAGTTTCTGTAGAGTTTGTCATCAGGAAAATTTCTTCAGAATCTACTAGCCAGTGTCCGAACACTATCACAAGCCACAAGCCTTTTATACACTTAGAGCTCCAGATGGCTCCTGGAAAAAATGCAATTCATTTTCAGTTGCTTAATTTCATTTCTTCTTCAAAGGCAATTTTCTTCTGTAAGTATTTTTAAGTATTTAGTGCTAAAGGACAATTAGCCACATGAACAGTTTTCAACTTATCTACTTAACACACTCTGGTCATCTTTTATAAAGATAATGACATATTTTTCCTACTTTGTACTCATTTCTGATTAATTTCCATGTACAGTGATTCTATCAACATTATTACTATTAATACATATTACCCAGATAGGATCATGTGTTCTGGAAACACTAAATAAAAGTATCTTGAGGTCTGGGTACAATCTTAAAAATAAAGGTTACTTTGAAAGAGAAAATTCTGCAAACAGCTAAGCATGTTCTGCTAGCAAGAAATTCCATAAAATGTATCATGTTCTTACACACAAAGAGAACTTATTCTGACCTTCAGACTGAGTTTCATGGTGAAAAGAGAAACCCTTACAAGACTGCACAAATCAGAACTGAGAACACAAAATATTTTTTTATATATAGAAAGTATATGAGATTATTTTAATAAAGGCAAGACATTAAAACCAGATAGACATACCTGCTCCTTGTTGTTCCTTGCAATTTAGGCAAAGTTTCAAATTCAGAAACAGTTAGTAAATAGCAGTACAGAGGTTACTGAGAGAATTCAGAGATGCATTCTGCGGCTCGACTGAGTGGTGCTTGAGTGTTTTGTTGGCCATGTATGATGTGTGTGATGATACATTTTGGAAGAAAGCCCCAGGATTATTTTTTTTCTTTTTTTTTTACTTCCCTAAAGGTCGGGTGTAGTAATTTTCAAGGCATGTGAAATATTTCATCCTCATTGTGAAGTCATATAAGCCATATGCCATAACTGTTGTCCTCCTGTGACCACTAATTAAAGCTCTCAAGAACAAATCCTTTGGCAATTAAAGTTCCTTTGTGTGATTAACTACATCCGTAACAATACCAAGTTTATCAACACCTCTGAACTGCCTTTTTAGTGCCAATGCACACGAGTTCTTTTGTTGTTGTGGGAGGTCCTTCCTCTGCCAGCCTTGGTGAGGACCATGCCAAGAGCTGGGGTTAAAGCAGAATGAGTGTATGGGAAGGGCTGCTGAACCTGGGACACACTAAACCCCCTTTAGCCTTTCCACTGTTTTTGGAAAACTGATGTCTTTTGCACCCCATGACAGGTGTCCAGGGCATGAGTCTCTGTGAACATTACTTCTCAGTAGTGCTTGGTGACTGCTGTATTTTTGCAGGCTTGCACACATAAATAATCATCTTTTTATGTGATTACCTGCTGGGACCTTGTAGACTGAGACTGGTTGTTTACCAATTATTTCTATGTTTGTTTGTTGTTGTTTTTTTTTTTTTAAATTTTGATTCTCCTCTGATTTATTTAATTAACATATTTATTTGTTTATCTGATTTATCTAATTAACAATATTTTGGAAATATCTGATGAGTCTCCAACTTTAAATACAAATCCCTTTTAAGTATATCTGTGTAAAAATAGGGTTTTTTGACTTCTTTCTAAAAATAGTAAGAAAATATCCAGGGACTGGAACATTATTTACTTACACAAAAACATTTTTCCCATTGGCTACCTAGCAAACACATGCACTGTCTCTCTGACTTCTTGTTCAACTGTGTCCATTCTTGTTTGATAAGTGAGTTAAAATGAAAAGGCATGGGAGACTGCATGGTGATAGCTTACTCTGAACTTCCCTATTGCCATGATAAATACTTTTATTCCAACTTTTTATTCATTAAAAAGATATTAAGTTAGCGTTAAACTGGTAAAAGTATCAAATTTGAAAAATTGTTCTGGTTAAAACCATCACACTGGAGAAAACTCGAAAGAAGCCAACATTGAATTTGAAGATTTAAAAAGTTTAAATACTTCTTTTATTTAAAAAACATCCTATTAAAAAATTTATTTTTTAAGTAAATGAAACAGTATAAAAAATATATCCAAAATGAAGTTATGTGCTTCACTTCTGTAAATTTTTTTCTTTTAAAATATCTGGATCAAAACATTTATTTTGGTGAGAACCTGAAACACAACATTTTTTGAATTACATGTTACCCAAGGAATCTTAATAACCTACAGGAGATCAATCTCTAAACAACACATCCCACGCTGACTCATTAAGGTAAGTGGAATACGCTAGGAGATATTCGTCACAGACTTTCCAAATCTTCATCTTTGCTTACACTAGTGAATTTCTGTGTTTGAGTTATTTTTTCCATAAAGAAGATCATTTGAGCAATAACGAGAAGGCTGGAATTCGTTCTTGCTTGGATATGAATCTCTAGGAGCCGCCAACATCCACATTTACTCACAGACTCTGACTAGAAAACTGCAGCTGCATCTAAAATTTAAATGATAAGTCACAGTCTTACGAAACTCATCACTTCAAAATGGGATCAAAATATTGGTTTGCAAATCCAACTCCTTTTTGTAAATCTAGTTTCTTATTTTTTGTTGTTCTTCATTGCCATCTTTAGAACTTTTTCAGCAGTGGAGGGAGCCTATACATTTGGTGGAAATAATAGTGAAATGAACAGGCACTGCTGTAGCTCCAACTCTTAAACAGCTTAGAACAAGTCCACTTAAGAATCTGTAACTTTATACAAAAAGGGGATTTAATTTATTACTTGTTTGCAACTTGGGTCTTCATTTCAACTTGTAGAAAGCATAAAATGATTTGGTAACATTTTACGGTTTGCACAGATGTTATGGATCACAAATTAAAGGAATGGGAAGGATTAAGTTTAAAAACATTTCTCAGATTCAAAATGTTTTTGCTGCGTACACATAATTAAAACATATCTGTGTATTGATGCCTTCAACTCAGGATACTCACAGCACATTAGTTTATGTTTTAAGCTTATGTGAGCTTCAGCCACACGGTCTGTGTTGACTTTCCTGCAAAAAGTACACATTTGCTAGAGCTGCATAGGAATTACCTGTTGGAACGAGTCCAGAGGAGGGCCATGAAGATGATCAGAGGACTAAAGCACCTCTCCTGTGAAGACAGGCTGAGAGAGCTGGTGTCGTTCAGCCTGGAGAAGAGGAGGCTCTGGCGACACCTTATAGACCCTCCCAGAATCTGAAAGGGGCTACAAGAGAGATGGGGAGAGACTCTTTATCAGGGAGTTATCACTATCAACTTAGTGATAAGATGAGGGGTAACAGTTTTAAGCTAAAAGAGGGTAGATTTAGATTAGATATCAGGAAGAAATTCTTTGCTGTGAGGGTGGTGAGACACTGGAAAAGGTTGCGCAGAGAAGTTGTGGATGCCCCATCCATGGAGGGGTTCAAGGTGAGGCTGGATGGTGCTTTGAATAACCTGGTCTGGTGGGAGGTGTCATTGCCCATGGCAGGGGTGTTGGAACTAGATGATCTTTAAGGTCCCTTCCAACTCTAACCGTTCTATGATTCTAGGAATTCACAAATGCTAACTGCCCCTCTTTGATCAGAAATGTTAAACAAATATGTTGATGAAGGCAGAGTTAAGACTGTTCACTCAATTATTGAACACATTATGTGGTAGACAAATGGCACATATCCAAAAGGTCTCCAGAGTTCTGGCTCTTGGTCCTACAGTCCAGCCATTAAAACTCTTTCTCTTAATGTCATTGGAGCCTTTAGTGATCTGAACAAATTACCAAACAAATTACCAAAATGGACAGTATGATTTAACAATTTGATTTTGTTTATTGAAACAGTTTGCAAATCACCATAATTATCTGCTAAAACTGTTCATCTATTCTGGAACAGGAGAAAAGTTTTCTGATGTGACCTTATGATGTAAAATTCCTTGTTCAGCTAGGTTGGATTTCTTATCACATACTATAGACAGTGGTTGCCAAGGAGATCTCAAACTCCGGTGCAATGCTTTACAATTCCTAATAAACGATCCTGTTAGCATCACCATGTAATAATCAAGCCCTACTAACTACAGTTTACAGAGGCTGAAGCAGCAAAATATGGAAGGAGCCATTATAGGCTGGAAAACCATGATGTGCTGACAAAAGAATGGAGTGAAAGGATGATTCAAGGGCTAAAGTACTGCTTGGGGATTTGGGATACCTGAACCAGGATCCTGGCTTCCCCGCAGAAACCCTACCTTAAAAAAGAGCAACCTTGTCCTGTCCACAACGATCCATCAGGTGTTTGCGCTAACAACATTCAAGATCGTTACTTTTGCATTTCAGGTGAAGCCAATAATCAACCCAAAAAACCAAAAGTTGAAAAGTTGAGAATTATCCCTGCTCATACCTCCTGGGTACTGGCTGTTGGTATCCTTGCTGGTCCTCTGGGAATGGTCCCCAGCCACCTCCATTGGACTGAACACAGAATCAGCTGTTTGCATGGATAAAGTCCACACAGAGGCGTCAGCTTCAGGTAGGAAGTAAGATGGGAGCTGAGGCAGGGGAATAGGATAAAAGGGAATAAAAAGGTGACATGATGACAGTTTGACATCTCCAGCTCTGAGATCCTCAGGACTGTGTCTGACCTCATTTTACCAAGAACCCTTCTCATATTTTGCCTAGTTTCTGTGAGAACAAGGCAAACATCTGAGTGGGACTGTAGACTGCCGTTAGGTAAGATGTAGCTTGGACATTACACTTTATTTCTTGGGCTTCTTTGGTACCTGCATAAATGGTACACTCCAATACTGCACAATGTGTGAGGGTGCTGAAAAGTGGGCAAGAACATGAATTAAACAGTCTGTGAGACGACATTGTGCCTTCTGCCGTCTGCAGAGAGAAAAAGACTTCAGCATCCTTAGCTGTCTTAATTAAGATTTCAGCTTCCAAAGGGACTGAGTGTGGTTGGCACTGCTCAGAAATGGACCCTGTAAAGAAAGCTCACCCAGAGCTTTAAAACGATGTAAAATTCTGTGGTTTCAGCTCACTTTCCCTCGGTACAACAGCAACCAAAAGACAGTACCTGTAACAGCTGCACTTCTGACAAGTCATTCCTGAGTAGCAGGATATGGGCTAGAGAAGAAAATGCCAGCAAATCTCGTTTCTTAAAGTAGTTTATTTTATGTTGTATATGCTTACTGCATAGCAAAATAATGTGTCTACATATTTACATGATTTAAATTAATGACATATTAATATAATAACATTTTTATATTTTACTTCTCAGTACCAAATACTCAAAAATCTCTTCTATTGCCTCAATAACCTTTTAATGCAGTTTCTTTTATTTAAACATTGCACGAACAGCATGCTGTTCACTGGAGATAACACTGGAGATAACAAAGCCTAGCAGTGTTTCGTTATAGGTGTCTTGGACAATATAAAGAATGAACAATAGAAGTATTTATGATGTAGGATTATACTGGATAATTAAAGAAAACCTATGGAAATTTTCTATAAATCATCTACAGTAATCTAAATCCCACAGTTTTTATAGCACATCCACACGCTTCTAGAGCATTTTGGGGGTTTAATTATTCAAAGTTTTAATACAAATTTCCCATCTTAAATGGAACTTTCTTGCCCTATTCAAGCTCTGATGAGTAAAGACCATGCAATAGCAGTCTGAGTTTACTTATGTCACCAAACTCCATTCCCCTTGGTGCTTTTAAGGTTGTAACCTTAAGTGCTTTGAAAAGAACAAAGGCTCTGTTAGTTCCAGAAGATTTTAGATCATCTCCAACTCAGTTTTCGATCAAGGTTCCTAGAGGTAAAAGTGTATACTGAATGTTCAGTATGCTGTGGGTTCATCTTCTGTGTAAACTCAACTTGGATCATAAATCTAGTCCAATTGGGGAAAAGCTATCTTGCGTTAAAATCACTCAGACTAATTCTACACTAAAACGCAGGTGTTATTAGAGTCTGAAAAGACCATTTTTGAATACTTTGAACTTTCAAGACTCCTATTAGCTTCAGTCAGATTTCTAAGGCAGTTACGTGATGCTCTCCTTCATTTTCTCAGTTTCTTCTACTTGTGAGATTCTACCAGTTGTGCTGAGCTTCTATGTTTCTATTAAATAACATTACAAATATTAATTATGTTTTGTGAATATTAAAACCTAAGTCTTTGAGCTGAAGTGTAGGTACGAATGTAAAGAACATTCACTCAGAAGGAGTAAGTGAATGCTTTTACCCCAATGCAGAAGAGGAAGAGCATTTCCTGGTACAAACTAAACTGAGTTAACTTCATGCAGCTGGCTGCAACCTTTCTTCCATTTCTGCTTTACCTTTTCTGAGCTTTTTTCCATGCATACAAGCTGATGTAAACCTGTAACTAGCAGGGGCATAGTGGTTGCAAAAGGGTACAGCTTATCAATCAATCAAAATAGTTTTGGATGACTGAATAGAGAAAGTAAAAGCCCAGAAGATGGGAACATCTAAAAATACATTTGAGTAATACTCCTACAAGATTACTTTATGAGAGCTTATTCAACTACAAGCCTCTCCAATCAAGAATTTAGTCTTACAAACTGTATGGGTACCATAAGTAGTTGCACAATCCTGACAGTAGCTTCTATACTATTCAGAGAGCTGTATGTACGTGTATGTACACCTTAGAAATGCAAACATTTCAAAGGATATGTGCATCAAATACTCAGCCATGAAAATTTAAGTATGCCACAAAGTAGGATTCAATTATGACAAACGTCCAACAACATTAGAAGCAGGTCTCTGGATGGATTTTCCACTAAGATCAAACCACTGGTTTCACACAAATACCAAATACTACCACACGTTTATTCTGTGGACCAGTAGCAGATGGATGTTACTGGAGACTGATATGTTAGAAAGCTTTTTTCCTGCAATGAACAAATTGTGCTATTTTGGTAATGGGAAATCAGACTTTTTCCTTGGGTATTCACTTGAAATGGAAGTTTTTAAAGTGTCCAGGGAATTTTCCATCTGCACAGACTGTGATTTTCTGCACCTCTTTGGGAACAAGTCCTTGTAGAATTCCACAGCCTTCTTCTGGAAGTGCTTCCCGACAATTACATACAGGATTGGGTTCAGGCAGCTGTTGCTATAGGCACAGAACACTGCAATCTGCGTCAGTAAGTCATTGATGTGTTCCAGGCATTTGGAAGTGTGTGTGAGGCTAGAGATTGTGTCGATGAATGTGGTGATCTGGAATGGAAGCCAGCAAACGACGAACAGCAAGAGCACAGCAAGGACCAGCATGGTGGCTTTCCTCTCTGTCTGGACTACCTTCAGTTTTTGTAGCTCACTGCTTCGTAAGGCTTTGATGATTTGCAAGGTGCAATAGGTAATTACACAGAGGGGGATCACAAAGCCCACAATATTCAGCAAGCAGTTGTTTGCCGGCCTCCAGTAGCTGGCTGGGTAAACAAGCATGCAGGCTGTGACGTTGTAGTCTTCGTAATATTGCAAATTTCGGAACACCATTGCAGGTGAACACATGAGCAAAGCACACGTCCAGACTACAAAGCTATTCCATTTGGCACAGACAGTTCGTCGCATCCGTCCAAGAGACATGGTTTTCACCAAGGCCAGGTAGCGGTCAATGCTCACTAGTGTCAGGAAATAAATGCTAGAATAAAAGTTCATGCTACTCATTATGTTGACAGCTTTACAGAGGAACAGGCCAAAAGGCCAGTCAAAATTATTAGTAATATTAATGGCCCAGAAAGGTAAAGTACAGACTAACAATAGGTCAGCGAGTGCCATGTTTGCTAGGTAAATTTCAGCCACTGTGCAGCGACTCTTGTGGAAACATAGGACGATGAGGACAGAGGAATTTTCTATTGCTCCCAGAACAAACAGAACCCAGAGGAATCCAGGCTGGAAATCCTGTAGCCATTCCCATACATGTGGATTAATACATATATCTTGACTCAGCTGATGCACTCCTGAATTATTGTGGAAATTTGCTGGAGTGCCTGTGAGCTCCTGGGTGGCTGTGGTGTTGTAAAGCTGGGTAACATTTTCAGTTGTGATGGAAACCATTTCTGTGCAGAGGAAAACAAAAAGATGACATGAGATTGCTACATGTAGCTCGTTGCTGAAAAAAAATAGAATAATAAAAGCTGGCCCTGCTTTCAAAGTGTAGCTTTGAACAGCAATTTGAACCCAGCTGTTGAACCCAGCAATTCTCTGGGTTTGTTTCTCATAGACACCCTGAATACTCGCAGGGAGTATCAGACTAATCTGCATGTACTGATGTTAAGCGGGTGAAACAGAGGGAATAAAATGACAGCAGACATTGTAGCCAACAGGTTACCCGAAGAGAACATTTACCAGCCTGTCTTCTCTAGAACCAAGCTGCAGCAAGTCTTTTTTTAATTCCTTGAGGAGGCTGATGGTTACTTTCTTTTCTTATCTTTGGGTATCAGCAGCCATAGTCTCCTAAAGGACAGATGTACCTCCTGAGTCTTGTGTTTAGGAAGAATTAAGTGCATATCTGATATTTATGCCCATAAATAGCTCCCTGTAAAACCCCAAGCTGTTCTGACCCTTCAAACATTGCTAAACTGCTCCTCCTGTGGCACATCCCTCAACATTTTACACCCTTTCCTGTAAAGCAAGAATTGGGTGGAATTCAGTAGTGTTTCCTCCCCACGCAACATCATATTTTTTTCCAAATTTTACGATCGTCACAGCAGACATTTACCTTGCAGCTCTAGCTCACACTGAGAAAGCCGCAGGTGCAAGGATCAGTGTTTGCGAGCAGCCTGCCTTTCTCAGCTCCTCACTGGAACCACCTGTGGATTTCTGCCTCTGCTTTACAATCTCTTTCAGCAAGCAAGTCACACAAGAGGTAAATGGTACAACCTTTGTGAGGGAGCTTGGTTTTAATAGGTCTGCAGTGGGTGGGCTGGCAGTTTGGCAAAGATGGTGGCCATCACGTAAGCAAGGACCTGACTGCAGTCAGGCTGCGGTGGGACTATTCGGGTGCAAGAGCACAGTCTGCAAACCAGGTGCTGCATTGTAAATGTTCGAGGGGTCAGAACAGCTTGGGGTTTTACAGGGAGCTATTTATGGGCATAAATATCAGATATGCACTTAATTCTTCCTAAGACCAAACAGGAGTTCCAGCATCCGCTCAGGACTGTTAAAATGTTGACTGTGGTTTTTATTGTTGTGCTCTGAGATAATGAATGCTGAGACATTATTCAAATAAAAGACTGTTTATATAATTCTCTGGACTGAGTGACAGAAATACTGTTTGTCTTTTTCCAGGTCTTTAAAATACCACTGTTTATATTATGGTCTGATTGGAAGCTTTTCAGCTGTGTTTTTAATTAAGACATTTATCTGATTCAGCTGGTAACTTGGCAGTAAAAAGGGGACACATTTGTAATTCCTGAAAGGATGGGTCTCTCATTTGTACCCTGGTTACTGGATTTGGTGGTTGGTAAGTGGCAGTGCTCGATATGCATATAGGCATTTGGCTTTTGGATGCAGAATTACTGAGAAATGGTGGTCATATTTTGTGTACTTAGTTATAATTAAGTCCTGTAGTGCTTGAGAACCAAAAGCAAAGATGAAACCCACATTTTACGAAGTACAGTAAAGGAGACTCTATACTGAAAAATTTATAACAGAGGTGTAAGGCAGGACAGGTCAACTGGATAAACCAGGCGAGTGCGACTGAGAACCTTGAAAGACAAGGCAATATAAAAATGGATTTATGGGCACAAAATGAAATGTTGGGAATGCACATTTCTAATCCTTTGTAACTTGAACAAAGGACAGTATTTGTATAGACTTGGTAGCAACATAAATATTCTTATTCTCCAAGTTCATCCTCTCAAAACCTCAACTTTTCAAGCCCTTATATAATTGCAGGAACATACGTCCATCCTCTATCCTGCCTCTAAATTAAAGTTGTTGTTGTTAGAACCACCTCAATCTTGAGACACCAGTTTCCTTTTGATTTCTGACTGTTTTCAACCAGCATCTGGGGAATGGGTTGGTGGATCCCCCTTATTACATAGCACTACATGTTGTAGACAGCTGTCCGGGGACCTGTGATTTTGGTGACACTGGTTAACTGGAGCTTTTTGGTCTAGTGGATATGGAGTTCTCTACTGAAAGCAAATGCCATCCGCACTGCATGCTATACCAATATTCTGACTTATGTCCCCTTCTCATCTTCCAGGTGCAAGTAACTACCGTAGGTTGTAAATGCTTTGGTTAGAAATCTTATCTTTGATTGAGCCCTTCCAGGTATAGCAGAGTACCTGCACCTGTAGTGCATTTTTCTGCTACTTTATTTGTTTGTATTTCAGCACAATGGAATATAGGATGATACCATCCAGATATGCCTGTTCTACTGCTTCTGCTTTATCCATTAGGAGACAATGCATTAGTCTGATACAACTTTATTCTTGAGAAGTTTATATAGGCAGTTCCTTATCACTTGGTTATCTCCTCCATATGTGGATATACTGGTTATTTAATATTTCACTGTCATGTTTTCCAGGTATTTAAATGAGATTGGCAAATTTGTAAATCCCTGGGTTCTGCTATATGTGCCTTTTCAAGATAGGTACTATGTTTTGCCCTCTCTTCTGTAGTGTCCCTGTTCTCCTTGGTTTCACAGACATAAAAACTGAGAGTAAAGATTTCCTCTCCTAATTCATGAACCATGGGAGGGTGGGTTATATATGACTCTGCCACTTTGTATACCTCCATATATTCTTTAATTTGTTCTTTCCCAATTCACATAAATTCAGTTGTTCAAATCAATCGTCTTAAATATTACATCATGATCTTCATTTCTGAGAGGAAAAATGCAGAGTCACCATTGAACTTCATTCTCCGAGTTACTGTTCCTTTTTCCTTTTGGTAACAGGCCTAGACTTTCCTCTATTATCCTCTTTTGATATATTTATAGAAACATTTTATATTAACTCCTATGTCTCTTATTAACTGCAACTCATTTTTATCCTGATGTTTTTGGTATCTTTGATGTTCTGAGTTCTTAAATAATACCTTAGATAGATAGCCATACTTTTCTGTAATTAATCTCCCTATAGCAAAGCCTGGTATCAAGGTTCTGGTATTCATAAACACTGAAATACCTCAAAGCCCAGTTTTTGTGGCTCCAAGAGAAGCCACTAACAAATTGCGAACAGCAGTTTCAAGTCTCCTTTTCTGTGTATGCTAGCACTTCAGATTGTAAAAACACATAGGAAGTGAAATACTAATGGATGACCAACAAAAGGTCATCTGAAAACAGAGTTCTGTTGGGGATGCAATTAGTAGAGGCTGTTTCTTCTGCCAGTAGCAGGCTGTGAACCAGAAGAAAGAATTGTAAAGTGCATTATTTTATGCTTGGACATTGGATGTATGCATATATTTAATAAGATGTTCATTAGTAATTCAGACAGTGGTCATAAAGGCTATATGACTAACAGAAAAGCAATAAGCAGGAATTATCTTACAACAAACTGCATCTCAAAAACTGCCTACTGATTTATGACATTTTTCCTACAATTAATCTCTTTTATATTTATTTTTATAAAGGAAAGCACTAGAAGACGTTAAAATAAATTACTTATATCTCATTACTGTGGTCTAGGAACAGTATGCAGGGGCTAGTTAGGATGTGACGAAGTCCATGACATGGGACTTCTGGTGACCGGCCTCTGTGGTTGTTAGTTTGTGCCCTTCAATAAAGCATTGGTAGAAATGCAGGAGAGAACAAGGTAATATGTTCTAATAATCTATTTAGAAACTCTATTTAAATGATGTGCTCAGCGCTATTCTCTATAGCACAGGACACCCATTTAAATTATGTGCCTACTGAATAAATTATGAATTACACATCCACAGCCCTTTAGAAAAGGAAGTGATGCCTATTTGCCATTAGCTTATCACAATTCAATGAAAATAAATATTACCACTTCACACATTCTCTACAAATGCTTTCTGTGCAATGCAAGACAGGTCTAATGTCTCAGCTAGGCCCCTCAGAAAGATTTTTATCTGACAATTTTGATTTAAACACTGCCCAGCTGAAGCAGTCTGTTATTACTGATCAAGAGAGACTCCTGCTGGAGTTCACTTCCTACTATTAGTTACCTCCTCTTTCAGATCGTTGGTGATTGTCTCATGTTGTTCCAGAATATTTTTTGCTAATAGCATTGGGCACAAATGGCAAGGTTTTGATAGTAGAGGTCTGTAGGGTGCTCTGTGTGAGAGGCAGCCGTGACCAGCCCTGTGCTGGTGGCAGCCAAACCTGTGCCTCTTGTAGATACTGCCCTGACCAAGTGAGGATGGATTTGGGGTTGGCTAATGCAGGGATACATTGAGCACTGGCTGGATCCTGTCAATGCTGCAAATGAAGGACCCTTGCAGAAGGACTGCGAAAAAGTCGTTAATCAACTGTAGTTGCTGGACTGTTGGTTTGTGTTTACAGGGAAGGAAAGAGGGACCCCGAAAAGGTGGTGCCCACCAGTGCCCCAAAATTTTGAGGTCTGTGCACAGTCACTAATGCTCCTTGGTATTGCCTGGTAACCAGGTGGGGTGTCCTGCTGATCAAGCTGTATGTCTGTCCTGCCGTATGCACTGTACTGGGGAGAAGACAAGCACGAGAGTGTCAGCAAGCCAAGGATAACACCCAGAGTGCAGGAGTGTGGTCAGCCTTGGAACGTTGTACAACCCAGCTGTACGTGCTGGCACCTATAGATGTTCTTGAAAGAAAAGAAGTGGGATATGACGAGGTGGGACAAAAAGCCCTTTCAGGATCAAAGTACTGTGAACTAAGCAATGCAAGTGCAGGGGGAAAAAGGTCAGAGCTCATTTAATGCTGCTACTGGATGTGAGCAAGCTCTGGGACAGCTAAGCCATTTGGTGCACCACTTTACTCCCCAACTGGGGAAATGCCCACACTGCATCAGGTGATCATTTTTCACAACCCATTTTGGATCTGGATGAAGTCATACAGCTGCTGGACTCATTAATCCATTAGTACCTCCACTGGTGGTGTTAATCTTCGCTT